GATAAACTTTCTATAGCATGTAAAGAAGGATGTTGTATTTGTTTTAAATTAAAAATAAAAAATATTTAAAAAAAGAATGAGTTTGTCTAGGTCTCAGAACTCGCAGTATGCTGCGGCCTTTCATAGCGCCTCAAAGTATTCATTGATTGATTCACCTTCCCGTTGGTTGCGAATGTTAAATTAATGCCGCCGAACATGCTTGGGGTGCGTAGTGGGTCCTCAGCATCTTCTGGTACTGAGAGATCTTTGGCATTTTTGAACACTTCCCGTCCACAGTAACGGGAATGCGGCCTTCAGAAAGGCCTATGAGGTCGTTGTCCTCAAGGAAGCAGTAAACCATAGCATATATGAGTCCCAGTGCATGGTGACTGGGTCATACAGAGTCGGTGGGGCGTGCATGGCCATTTTGGGTCCTGCGGGCATTTTGAGTTTGCCGCTCAAAAATGTCTGCTCGAAGCCGTGCTGAGCTGCAGGCTGGATGTACTTGCTGGATTGCTATGGTCTTCTTGGTTCGCCTAGTTGCCTTCCAATCTCATCCTCGTCACCAGTGTTAGATTGGGTAATAGATAGGCATACACAGACTAACGGTAACAACAGCTCTTTATTAAATGCAACAAGTGAGAACAATCCAGCGAAGGTTGAGTCTGACAGCAGCCCTTTTATAGGGAACTGTCAGACCCTTCAACCAATGAGATTAAACCTCTGTTCCCGCCAGAACAGAGGACCTTGGTGGAAACCACTATAGTTGAAGCTAGTATGTAACATAGAGTATCTTTATCAGTAATTTGTGAATGATATTAATATAATCAAAGAGTCTACATAATCTTTCCAACAGTGTAGGATTCTTTAAATTGTTTTCTGTTATTCACAATAATTAGAGAAAAACAAGAAACAGAGTATTTTTCCCATATCAGCATAATTTCTGTCAGTATTAAAAATTGTATCTACAAAAAAATTATTACATTACTTAGAGCTCTTTAACATTAAAACAGTTCATATTCTTAAATTCTGTCACCACATATTAGTGGAATAATGTATAGTTTAAGAGTGTGAGGTAAATATTATTTACAGATGTAATTATCAACAGATACTATTTGCCTCCATTAAATAATCTTGCATGGCATATTTAATTTTTTCTTAAAACAAGACAATTTTAAAATTTTGGGACTACTATAAAAATACAGATACAGAAGGTAACCTCAGAGACTTCTCAAACTAAATTAAAATCTGAGTACAGAAATCAACATTTAACTGTTATTCTATTACTTATTCCTTTCCCTAATGCCCCTCAAAATTTAGACAACTTTTTTGTGATTGATATATTTTGCACATTAAAGTTACCATTGAAATATGAAACAAAAACAAGATAAAAAGAAATAAAAGTCAGCCATACCGTCCACAGATCCCAAGGTAGCGTCTGAGAAGGGAAAAGACATGTTCAAAATCTCATTCGTACATCTTTTTTACATCTTTAGCATAATTAGATAATAATGTAATTATATATATTCATAACCAAAGTTGGCAAAGAAGTTGCATCGTAGCCCAGCCTATACCATATTCCAAACATTTATATTTGTTTTATCCAATGAAAAGGAATTCCAACATTATTTCTTAAAATGTAATTCTCCAGGAGATTTGCTGCTAAGCCGCCTACTTGTGGTAAACTGGTAGCTGTCAAGAGCACTCTTGATAGCCATAATGTCCCTGACTGAATGATCACATCCCTTATTTTTAATTATTTTTTAAATTAAGAAAATAAAATAATAGCAAAAACAAAAAAGGCAAGGAATACACAGGCATACATAAAATGAACTTAACATTACAGGTAGTCCTCAACTTATGAGAACAATTGAACCCCAAAATTCTGTTGCTAAACAAGGCAATTTTTAAGTGAGTTTTATTCCATTTTATGAACTTTTTGCCACAAGTAAGCAAATCACGTTAAGTGAATCGTGTGGTCATTAAGAAAAAATGCCTTTCCCCAATGTTTTTGCTTATTGGAAGTAATGTGGGAAGGTTACAACCAATGATCACATGACCTTGGCACAGTGCAAGTCAATCAGACAAGTGGCCTGTGAGAAATACATGTCAGTTGCCAAGCAACCCAATATCAATCACGTGACCATAGGGATGCCACAACAGTTATAAGTGTCAAAAGTGGTCATAAGTCACTTTTATCAGCATTGTTGTAACTTCAAACAGACATTAAATGGATGGTTTTAAGTCAAGAATTGCCTCTATAGCAAAAGTGGAAATAAAAATCTGATGACAAAAAATAGATATCCAAAAAGTTTTTTAAAAAAGATAAAGAAAAAAACATTGTAGGAAAAAGCATTCTAATCTCCCCCCCTTTCCATGCTCCTGCTTTTTCCTCCTTAGCTCTAATGCTCTTAATTTTTTTAATATTATTATACTTTGATTATTCCTCATTTCTACTTGGGCTATTTAGATTTTTAAAAAAAATAATTTATCTTTTTCTTCAAAAACTATATTCTAAGTGTCCTAGCTTGCCTTGTTATGTAATATGTTTTATTTAATGAAATTATTCCTGCTTGGATTTATTAGACTTTTGCTGGGAATGTATAGTCAGTTTTTCGGGTGTCACCCATTCTTCAATTTTAGTTTCTCAATCTTATCACAGTTTCATTTCTAAGTATATTTCAATGAACAGCTTTTACAAGATAAGATATTTCTATCATAAAACAACCTTTTAAGAAGTAGATTTAACAGCTGTTCCTATTTAAGATCATATCAGGTAAAGTATTATTTTCCTCAATAATATGATAAGATGAAAAATTTCATTTACTAAAAATCAATGAAATTAATGATTGCTTTCTTTGTGGCTAAATTAGTAAAAATCCAAAATATTACTAAACTAGTATTACTAAACTAGTAAAAAAATGACTAAACTAGTAAAAATCAAAAGTAAAATAAAATAGTTACTAGTCAGGAGGGGAATTATAATTCAATATAAACTTTTATATGCAGAGGTGACTTTTTAAAAAAAATATCATTTTGAAACTAACCTATTACTGTTCATGTGTACGAACAGTACATTTTGCTTCAGTTCTCTAGAAACCTTTCAATTACAGAAATTTGTTTAAGCAAATTTGGCGTTACAGAGAACAAGACTGGTTTAACACCTAAGGAATAAGGCTAGAAACTTGTAAATTCTAATCTTGTATTAGGCACAAAGTCCTTGGGCCAATCACTCTCTCAGCCCTAGGAAGGAGACAATGGCCAACTACTTCTGCAATTTTGTCAAGAAAACTGCAGGATTTGTGTCCAGGTAGTTACCAGGAGTCAAAAACTGATTTGAAAGTTTGCATGCATGTGCACAAGCCTACACCCATACCACATACATAATACAAACAGCAAAATTTGCAATCATTTTTTTGAAATAGCAGATTAACAGATGTAAGTAGACAATATCAGATGAAATATCTGATTGTCTACTTACATCTGTTAACCTGCTAACAGATCAGGGGTGGGTTTCTCGCCCCATTCCAACCGGTTCGGTTGGAACGGGGCCGGCGGCGACCTTGTGCACGCGCGTGGTGCACGCATGCATACTAGCGTCTGTGCGATGCTCCAGCTGCTCCTGGAGGATCGCGCAGGCGCTGTATGCGTCCTGCGCATGCGTGGAAGCGCAGAACTTGTCAAAACCGGGTAAGGAGCGCGGGCGGGCGGGTGGGCCCTTCGCCGCTCCCGGAAGTTACTTACTTCCGGGTTCGCCGACCAACCGGTTCGCAGGGACCGCCATGAACCAGTTGAAACCCACCCCTGTAACAGATATAAGAAGACAATCAGATATTTGGTCTGATTTAACAGAAGTCTACTTTTTTACATGATTTGTGACACAATGTACAGAGTGCATTTTTAAATGGCTAATGTCAGTGGCTCCAGGTCGCAGGAACAAATGTTTAATTTAAATCTATTGTTAAGGACAGGTGTCCTCTAAGAATTTTTTAACACTTGTAGGGTGTAAAGTCTGAAATATCAGCATTAATAAAATTTAAAAGTGAAGTCCTTTGGGAAACCTGGAATTTGGATTGATGAAATAGTTAATCTGTTATGTTTCCAAAGAAGACATGCAGCCCTATGTGGCATCAAAGCTGTATGTTTACTCTGGCTCTTATCAAGCCTAACATCACATTACACAATACTTTCTGTTATTAACTTCATTTCAAATATACACTATATTGCCAAAAGTATTTCCTTACAACTGCTTCTGATTATGTGGATGGGTGAGCGAATACTTTTGGCAATGTAGTGTATGTTGCGAAACACTAGGAAAAATTCTAAATCCTATAATCAGCATACATTTTGTAAACTGGCCAAAATTTTGCACATTTTTAATTATTGATTTTAATCCTATTTTGTAGAATTTTGTCTGCTTCCTCAACATCTCCTAAGCCATTGCATATCACTGCAAATTATATTAGCCAACCATATCAAAATTTCTTTTTAATTATTACACTTCTTTATAACCCTTAATATAAGAATCAGCAACTTGCTGTTAATAAATTAAAGCTGCATTTCTAGATTCCCACAGGATTGTGGTATAAAACAATCCTGATTATGGTGCACGTAGTATCATAATAACATAATATTTAAAAATACCTGAGACATTGGGGAGTGGGTTACCATAGTAGATGCATTATCAGGCTTGAAAGGATCAAAGTCCAAATCTAACAAAGACTCTTCTTTTTTAGCATCAGGAGCTTCATTCTGTTGGAATTATAACATTTAAAAACATTTTTAATTGGAATGCACAAATCCTTTTTCTCATAAAATATACATCAGGGCAAATAATAAGGAACGAGATTGGAATTCAGTGGCATTAATCCATTTAGAATATAGGAAGTTGTCATGGATATAATAGGAAATGGATAAGATAGCAGACTTTTTCTGAATTAGCTTTCAATTGTTTCATGTAAGCCGTTTTATGAGGAATTCATGAATGATTTTATTAGCCCCAAGCTCATATTCAGTTAATACTTCAACATGTTTATTTTCCTTTAAATAAATACAATGTTAGGACTAAGAATTATTGACATTTACATAGCCAGCGCTCATCTTGGACAAATTTTAGTCATGCTCATCCAAACCCAGAGTGTTTGTGGGATTCACTATCAAATGTCTCCAAGTTTTTGTGAACTAGGTTTCATCCCTAAATATATAAAACAGTCTCAAATTAATGGAAATATTTTGTCAGTGACTAGAACGACTTATTCTATGTTTCACAGCTTGTATGTGAGTCACTCCTATCATTTCCATTTAAAAAATGTGTCCTGTGTTCCCAATCGACATTGCCAAGGTCTTTTGGTTTGGGACAAACAAGTTGTAGCATTATCTATCTGAACAGATAATGGCTGGAAAAATCTGGACTCACCTGAGAAGGGGTTGTCACATTTATTTCTGGAACAAAGTTATCATCAAATAAACTGATGATATTTTCTTGTTGCATGTCTACTGTTGGTGTGAGTTTAGGCAGTGGTGGGACAGGAGGCCCTTTCCTCAGCTGAAAGAAAAATTAGTATGTTTGAAAGATTAAATGATATATCAAAAGTAACAACAACAACAACAACAAAAACTTATTTTGGCAGCTCAAGAACAAGTCTTAGACACAAATTACATGAAAGCAAAAATTCAGCATATTACCACCAACAGCAAATGTCGCCTCTGTAATGAGAAAGATGAGACAGTCGACCACTTGATCA